TCTCCTATGTTGCTTCCTAGGAGTTTAGGTTTTATCCATTCCAGCTCTGCTTATAAACACACTGCCTATCTTTGAGGATGTACTCAGAACTGCCTGTCACATAATTCTTCTTGCAGCAATATGGAGTCTCTGGCATGGAGACTGCCTGGTTCTCCTCAAGCCCCATGAGGAGCACACTCACATAATTGCTCTTGCCTGGCTCTCCCAGTCTAAGCCTTCACCAGATGCAATGACTTTGGCTAGTTTAGTCCAGAAGGAAGAGTGTGTACAGCCATAATGCCCCTTCCTTCTGTGGTCTTTCTCTTTCCTTTTTGCTTTCTGAACCTCATACTGGGAAAAAAAAAAAAAATTTTTTTTGAAAAAATCCCGTGCAGCACCACAGGCTGATACAGAGTACAAGTGACCAGTGCTGTGATCATGACCATTCAGCCATGAGCAAAGATGAACAAGTGAGTCCTGTGAGCACTTCCCCCTTTAGGCTGCTGTCACAGCCTTTGAACATTCTGGAATGCCCTAGAGTTATGGGCAGAAGTATTTTAATGGCCAACTCCTTGCAGAGCTGTCCAGTAAAAATCTATTCACAAGGCCATGAGAAGAACCAATTAATACTGGTTCAATTAACTCGATAGACAATGAAAAAATAGTCATTGTTTTCTTTCTCATCATGTCTGACTCATCCCCCAGTCAGGCTGTGGGATGAATTAAATTCCTTCTCTCATGCAGTGCTACATCTGCTAAACTATTGAGAAGGAGGTGTGAGAAAAGGACACCTTCTCTTTTGGAAATCTTGTCACCTTCTTCTCTAAATTTGAAACTGAAGAAACTCAGGGGTGACTGAAAATAGAACTGCATTTTGGCTGAATATATTCAACAACAAAAAAATTCTATACATTTACCCAGACTTTGAGAAAGACAAAGGGCTGAACATAAATGTACTAAGCAAAAAGAAAATCACTTGAAACCCAGTCCTGTACTAAAAGACTGGAAAGAGTTGAAGATCACATAACTTTTTAAAAAAAAAAAAAAAAAAAAGGAATAAAGAAAGGAAATGGATCATTTCAAGAATTTTTTTCACACAGAAATATTCATATTGATCTCAATTCTTGGTGGCCAAGTAATATAGGGAGACGACATCTATGATTAAAGCATCAAAACAAAACATCATAAGCAGGTTCTTCTTCAGAGAGGAACAGTTCCCTTTTAACTTTTGAATTTCTTATTGCAGGGAGATTCAGGTGGTCCACTGACATTCGAAGATGGGGACAAGTGGTTTTTGGTTGGTGTAACATCATTTGGCTACAAATGTGCACTTCCTGAACGACCAGGAGTGTATGTTCGAGTCACCATGTTTGTGGACTGGATCAAAAATATCATCTATTAGCTGGGTATTTTTTAATTATAGAGATATAATTTAAATGTTTAAAGTAAGCCATTGCATAATACTGGCATTTCAACCTCTCAGAAAAACTGAATAAATATTTAAATTTTGAGCAGGAAAATATTAGTAACTGAGAACTCCATTTCCAATTGAGAGCAATATTTCAAAATAGATGTTGTGGTTTTGTTAATAAATAGTTTTATCATTTTACTTTTTTTTCATATGAGGCTGTGGGAAAACAGTTTCTTTGAAAACCAGTGCTTTAAATGCACAGTGGAGGGCATGGGTGGTAAAAAAAGAAATACAAAAAGTTTGCAAAAACTGCAAATGTTTTAGTGAAAAAGAATCAAAACTATTAATATCAGGTTAAAAAAAGAACACCTGTTTTTATGTTTTTATACTGTGTTTGTCAGTGTGCAATTTGATATTAATCCGTAGTCAACTCTTCCCAGTGATCTGTCTGCACATCAAAATGAAGGTGTAGTTATCTGTTTAAACTGGGCTCATGGGAGTGCCTCTGCTTTGTCTATTACAAAAAAACTCTGAAATGAGGTTTATGGATTGGGCATAAAGGTTGATCATGTGTCCTGCTGCTTTCTAATGAATAAACTGAATGTTAGCTGAAAGTTCTCTCTTGTGTAATTAATTTGGAATTAATAGAGTTAAATAAAGATTGAATATAGCTTTTTAGTTTTCTTTCTACGTAAGTATTTTGGCAATTGTTCAAGCAATTATTGATATGTGCCTGTGCACACCCTAGCACAGACTCACAATACTACAACTTCCTCTCATAAAAAGTTATGTTTTTATAAAAGCATCTTACAATAATGAGCACCAGTTCTTCCTGGTGAATAAAATGTAATAGGGTTCCTGCTGTTTCTGTGCTGGTTACTTTTTAATGCAGATTTTTTGCTTGGTATAAAAACTATCAGGATATCCCATTACACCATTCAAAAGGGAAAGAAGATGAAGAACAAAAAAAAAAAAAAAAGGAGGGTGTACCTTCTTGAACCCTTTTACAAATAGGTTTCTATTAAAATAAGTTGAAATGCCTTGTATGGTTTTTGTAAGAAGCTCACAGATTTGGTGGCTACAATGCTAAATGCAGATATGAAGTACTAAAAATACAAGTCTCATTTGCAAACACAGGTTGGTGGTCACTGATAAAAAAAGCTTTAAGTCCCAAACTGCTTTCAGGTCTTCATAAGCATTAGAGAATTATGTCCAGACCAAAATATGTACGGTTATCAAAACATCTGTGACCACAAGGAACACACACAAATGTAAATAAGCCAGAGAGAAGGTATAAAGGTGTGTTAGACACTTTCTCTCATATAAAACACACAGTTTTTAATATTAAAAGGTTAAATTCTATCTTTCATAGTGGACCACTTCTTCTCCTGTTACTCTCCTTCATTTGAAAACAGACATTGAAAATAAAGCGCATTCTGCTACCCCTAGAAGTTGACTTGGATGAAGCAATTACATTAAAATGCTTAATTAAAATGTGACATGCATTATTTACCATGCACTACTATTGTAGATTTTGTTTCAGTCTGTTAACAAAATACAAAAGACAGTTCAAAGCAGATCCAGTCACTAGAAAAACGTGCTTCCCATAAATAAAGGAATATACTTTTGTTTGTGTGTATTTTTTGCTTCACAAAATGCAAAGCATATATGTATTTTGAGGTATACATTGATAAACCACCCCATCAGATTATAAAATTTCCTATTATAAATTCTGTCATAGAAACATAGATGTAATATACACTATGATAATTTTTAAAAAGCCATTTTATTTCAACTAATTTATGTCTCTATAAAACTTAGTCAATCCCATTCTAGCCTTCAGTCAGCATGCATGGCTTCAGCTGCCTGTGGAGAAATCAAGCAATACTATGTTAAATTTCTTGGGCAGCATGGATTATTTGCAATTGAGTCACAGTTCCAAGAGGCTTTGAAACAGGGGGTGGATATGGTGATATGACAATTATTTTGTGCCAATAACCAATAGTTCTTACCTATTATAGCTACTCCAATTTTATGTATAAAAGCACTGCATGCCACTTCCTCTCCTCCCTTCACACAGAGTGTGAGTGGTCTATGCTGATGACTGCCCAGAAATTACTTTCACTCCTTAAGAAGCACACCTGAAGGTATTTGCATTATCCTAATTGCTGCACAGAAATCACTTCTGCTGTGTTAACCATTATATCAATTACTGCACCTTAACATGTCCTTTCCATGCAAGAAACATGAAGAAATAGTTAATCCTTAGAGTGAGTTAAAAGGAGTTAGTTAATCATTCAATACCAGAAAAATAACTAAGTTCCATTACTGCAACTATCCCCAAGAAAGAGATCTCCCTTGCCCTCAGCTGAATTGGGTAATAATTACGTCAGGGGAAAAACAATTCCGGTCTTTCTGATCATGCAGGATCAAAGTATTTTCTCACTACAAAAGGAATTAAAGTTGGGGATTAAACAAAGAAAGAAGCTGTGACTGATTGGAAAAACTGCAGAATATTTTCAGTAGGAATAATATGAACTACAGGAGAAGGCTTCTTTGAAGAGGAAGAAAAACATAGCATAACAGCAACTTTAAGATGCTCCTAAAGTGCTTCAGCAGCTAACTGCACAATTAGTATTTAGTGGCATGGAACTCTCAAATATTTTTTTTCTTTACTCAGAAAAATCAATGCACATTTGTCTCTGAACTCACATGTTTAACACCAGCCAGCACAGTGAAGGCAACCCAACAGTCTTGCTTTGGTCAGTCTCTCCCCACCCAGCGGTAGTTTGGAATCTGTATCAAAGCCAACAACATTGAACTCATGCTCTTGAACTCTTGCTGGAACTGCAGTAAAACCCCTTAACTCTCTGCTTCAGCACCAGGCTGTCACCAACAAATCAACCAGAGTGCTACTGCAGCCACCCCAGGGCTGCTCCTAATGACTGGGAATACCATTCTTAAGGCACGGAAAGCTCTTAAGGAACCTGAGAGAATGGACATTAATGATGTTAATCATAACTCTAAAAGCAGACTTTAAATGCACCACAGTTACCTCTAAATCTGCTCATCAATTAACATAATTAATGCTTTTGTAGATAAAAGTCTGAGTAACTTTGGGATCAATCTATTAGTGCCACTTCCAAGAAATGCCATTTGTCTTCTCTTTGTTCCAACATTACATTATTCCTAACAACGTATTAGTTATATTCAAATGATCTTTAATGTCTTTTTTTTACATAAACTTACTGAAACAGTAATTTATATCTTGCCCACTCTGAATTTTTTTCCATCATAAAAAGTAAAAAAATAAATTTACTTGAATAACAATTAATAGCTGCCTTCAAAGGACACCTCGTTAATGAGGTATCACTTGCCAAGTTATTTGTGTTGAGCTTGGGGCAATACGTCAAAAAGTTATGGTCATTCCCTGGCCAAATGAATTCATTTCATGACAACAAATTGATGAATCCTTGAATTTTGCCACATCATGTTGATGTCACAACATGGTGGCTATCTCTGTCAGCAACTATGTTAATATTTAATAAAATATTTGTACCTGAGGACCAAAACCTGTGTTGTGTGCAAATAAACACTAAACAAATATTTTGTATCAAACTTTTATGCAAAGATAAATAATTGTTACACTGTAAAATTGTCAGTTCCATTTACAGTACATCAACTAGGTTACAATGCATGAGAGACTAAAGAAAACAAAGAGGGTTTGTTTAACTACAAACAGTCTTAAAACCAATATACATTGTGGATATTTCCCCATAAAAACTTCAAACGTTCCGTTCATTTCATTGCTCACAACTAGCTAACTTTTACATCTCTTAGCAAAATAAACACATACCCTTTATTTAGCATGGCATATTTTGTTACTGAATTAATAAACAAACGTTATATAAAAATGATCTGAACATTTGCCTCAAGGGGGAGCTTACAGTTCATTCTTGTAGATCCTTTGCATTTTCAAGCCATTCCAAGCTAACGTTCTTTGACGACATTATAAATACAGCCTCACTGCAAAATGTTATTTTTGCTTTCTTTTCAGTCAGTAAATCATTATACCTCCATGCTACTGTCCTTCCTAGGCGTCTTTGAAATCCATAGTGTGGACTGGTTGGGACTGGTTTTTGTTCTTCCTTTACTGAAAAACAAAAACACAAACTATTTTCAGTGCCACATGTGCCTTTGCAGCCCTGATTCAGGTTTGTGATCAGACCTGAGTGTTTCATCCCCCTATTTGAAGGCCACTTGTGTTGCTCCCACAGTGGTGGGTTTAGGTAAGCAACACTTACCAAAGTTACCAGACCACCCTGCTTAGCAGTGCTACTCCCAGGAACTGTCATAACTTGGCCCATATTTCATTCATTTTGTTTGGTTGTTTTTTTGATGGGTTTTTTTCCAGTTCCCATTTAACCACACCTTCTCTTACAGAGTGGTCTTTTCAGGGACAGGTATGGACACAGTATGACCAGGGTTGGTGGGAGCTGGGTGCTTCCCTAGTAGGAGGGACCAGACACACACCCCCCACCCCTCAGCTCTGCCCAGGGGGCTCAGGGTGCAGCCCACCCACCCCTGGGTCGTGCCCCAACCCTGTCCACATGCACCCCTGGGACCCCAGAACACTAATGGGTGTCAGCAGCAGACAGGGTTCTCTTCCCTTCAGGGCTTGACCTGACATCTAATGAAGTGATGGTGCATGAATCAGACTCCTAGCAATGAATGACTGGGAGAAAGCTTCCCTAGGGCTGGTTTTCCTTCAGTTGTGGCTGGGGGAGTTGGCTTGGTGGAACAAAACTAGTTCCAAAAGTACATGCTATGCAATGTTTCAAAAAAGTGCTCACTCTAGTTTTCACAGGGAGCCCTGAGGTAGCCTGCAGGTTGATGGTACTCTTTCCCCGTGGCTAAGACTGGCACAATGCACCACCTTCCCTCACTTAACACTGGCAGGTGACAGTGCACTGCAGTCTACTGGAAAGAAGCACTTCATGAGCCACTGCAGCTGCATTTCAATCAAAATGTTTTGCTCTCAGGCTAGAATATTTCACACTGACGGGTTCTCTACCAAATAAATAAAAAACAGAGGAGGAGAAGTAGCCCTACATTACTCCGTAAGCTGGAAACTTAAGAGTCCCAACAGCCCTATACATTCGGTTTTCTGAATTTTCAGTTTGCTCCTTTCCTGGTTTGTGAAAGCAAGTGAGTCTGAGTTGATTTAAAATGTGCTTTTTGAGGGAGCTGAATGGTACAGTAGTTTTTAGTCCCTCCAGACTTACCTCTCAAGTCCTACAAAGCAATGCATTATGTACCTGAGCCCATTGGAGTAATTGAAAAGCCCATTGGCTTCAGTGGACTTTAGATCAGGCCACAATGCTATAAACAAAGCAATTGCAATGAATCAAGGAATTTCAGGCTTTTTTTCTTAAGGAAACTGATTCACTACTTCCTTCCAGATTAATCCAGCAAGTGCAGGCATATTTGGTAAATTAATGATGACATGCTTTGAATGGAGAGTCCTTGCCACACAGCAGGAACAATTTCTAAATATCTTGAATCAGAACTTGAGCTGTATAAAAGGAGCTTATCTTCAGCAAACCTGTGCTGATTTTCACCAGCTACACCTCTGGTTCAGGAAGTATATTTTACTAAGAAAGGTAAGGAAAATGCAATAAATAGCTTGAGCATATTGCTGTTTTGACCATCAAATGCAATCATAGAAACTGAGAAATATACCAGGTTGGAATTTAAACTTTCTGCAAGGCATTCAGATGATAATGGAGATGGGTCTTTGAAGCAGTTTCTCCTTGCTTCCCTGGAAGAAATGAAAGGGAGAGCATCTAAGCATGAATGAGCTGATCAGTTCTGCCAGCTGCAGGGATGAGGTTTGGTTTTCCTTATTAGTACCCTTCAAGAGCCCAATGCCAGGCAAAATTAGTCATGACCTTTCAAGCTAGGCATGTCCTGGTTGGCCATGGATTGTGGGTTTCAGAGGAAAGGTCACCATGTTGTGGAAGCCTAAAAAAGAATGAGAAGTCAGGTTCATGTGGAAAGTTGGGGATCCCTCCTTCCCCAGCAGGACAGAATCCCTTTCCTAAAGCTCTACAATGTCCAGATGATCAGTTCAAGTGCCTCCTTTTTTTTTTTTTATTTGCCTTTTGCCCAAGAACTGCACATTTGTAATGGACCAAAATTATTTGCAAGGTGGGTCATAAGTGGAAATATAGTTGAAAATAGATGGGGAAATACTAAAAAAAAAAAAAAAAAACCAACCAGAGTTCTGTTTTAACAGATAAAGAAAATACATTGTTCTTGGTGATAGCTTTTTTGATTAAAATGATTTTTAGTTTAAAAATTACAACATTTTTATGTTTGATGCAACCCAAAGTGAACATTCTGGGAAGAAAAAAAAAAATCTCACAAAGTCAAAAACGCTATTTTGATTAAAAATATTTTCTCACTGATTTTTGCATCATTTAATCTATCCAAATAATCAGCTAACAGAAAGGGGACAATCTTCCAAGGTGAATTTCCAGTATCTGTGTCATGCAATTTTGAAGTCTTGGAAGTTCAGATGAATTACTTCTGGATGAACTGCTATAGCATCAAAGGCCTGATCAGAGCCCACTGAAGTCAACACCACTAATTCTATTGATTTCAGTGGGCCATGAATCCCTCATTGCTTTCCCAGGAGTATTTGAGGACTGAAACTTTTCTGGGAAGAGAAAGACCTGCCAGTAAAAGGTATGAACACATATGTCATACTTACCAGAAAATCCAGGGCCATTGTAATAAGGATTCCAGATTTCAACTACTACATAGTTTCTATTGTTATACACATTATTTCTTTATTACCTTTTTTGCTTTGAGCTTCCAAACTTCTACAGCCCCAGTGCTGATGCTTGGATATAATCTTTCACTAGCGTGTATTTGCCTGTCATAAGACCTGTTGAAAAGTGCACATTTTCCTTTTCTTTATAGGAAAGTGCATAAGAAAGACAATCTAATTTATGATGCAAACCTTATAATATCTTTTTTTTATGATTACTTGCTGTAATGAGGCACATTACTAAGAAGTACTGCAAATATCACTGTACACTCAGTCATACAGATAGAAACAGGTTTCATATTTGAAGTGTTTTCAGATAAGACTAAAAATAAGGAGAATTTTTTTTGTTCTAATTTCTTAAAACAGTGATATCATATTCCTTACTACTATTTCATTTCTTCAAGAGGGATAACAGCTTGTGAATCTGTTTATTACTCTTGATATTTTACAAAAATAGAAATTAACTATTTCAATTTAAATTTTTCTGGATCACATTGCCTTGAGAGCACTTTTGGAAAAAAAGGATGAAAAAGATCCTTAAAAAAAAGTTTCAGAAATATTAGCTCAGAAAAAAAAAGTCATATCTTAGTGTATCATATTTTGAGAAAAATTAAAAGTCAAAAAATTTTAAAGCATGAACCAAAACATATCCTGTTTCACAGACTGAAATGTTTCCTCTGTGCATAATAGTTCATCTGTTTGACACTGCATCTATGTACAAATATCTGTTTACTTTATGCATTTTGTTTAGCAGATACATGACATATAAAGGATGCCACTCTGGTGCGTGGCTCAAAGCACAGGTTTGCTCTTTTTTTTTTCTCAATTTCTCTGCTCCAGTGATCCATCTGTTGCTTGTAGGGTATGTGCAGTGAAACAGCATTAAACAGCTGCTGGCCCTAGGTCTATCCTTGGAAAAAAACTGCACTTTAAGTCAGAAAGTGAGGTAAGTCCTTGAGTTCACCCTGTATTTGTGAGGACCCCATTATTCCTCCCCACAGCCTTGATGCTGCATAGGTGGTTATCATGATGGAATAAGTGAAATAAAAGTGCTGACAACAGCTCAGTCTACCAAATGGTCTGCAGAGAGACCTTCTTCATAAAGAGGTGAAGTTCTAACTTTGAGACCTGGAATTATTTCAGCACGTTGAGGAAAAGCCCAAAGGTGAATGTTCAGCTGTAACAGCTGTAAACTACTCAGATTTTAATAGATGAAAAGATGCTTATTTGCATATTTGGGGACAGATGTAAGCAGTCTTTCAGCATGAATAGCTTGCCAATGGAAATATGAATTCTGCATTTTAAGACCATTATGGATGAGTATATTTTACCTTTTATGAAGCATCTGGAAACAGCAAGTCCCAAAAGCCACCAGTATCAACAGCAGTAGTGGTATAGTGGGTATTACAACATAAATTAGATTCGGAATTATACCTACAAGACAAAAGTTCTCATTAATGTCTCCCATGCTGAAATACCCTTAACCATGTGAGCAAAAATCCGGAGGAGAATATCAGAAACACATTAACTTACACAAAAGAACACTTATACATTCCTCCTATAGGAAGAGTTCCAAAGATATAAGTCAACAGTATCAAGAATAAAACAGCATAGGAGTGATGTTCAAGATATATTAAGGTCTTAGAATCTGATATTTTCCAACTTTTTATTTGAAAATTCAAGTATTTTAACAGTAAATTTCACAGCCTACTATTTTTACAGTCCATACAACCTGTAGTCTCAGTTGCCCTTGTATGTTGGATTGCCACCTGTGCAGGACCACAGGAGGAAAAAGTCAGGCTCATCTCCCCTTTCCCCTTCAAAGAGAGATATAAACTGTTCTTGACTAGTCAGGAGAGCTAAAGGTGTTCTTCTACAGGTCCCTGGACTACAAGAGTGGGAAATGGTAAAAGCTGAGACTGTTATTTGTCTACAATAAAGCATGTGGTCTGCAACTTCCAGAAGGGTCTGACTGTTTTTCGGTAATTATATGTCCATGTTTTATACCGGTACATATTTAATGTTCAAAATGTAGAGAGTTTCTTACCCACCTCTTTTGAAAATATTTTTCATTAGCAAAAATAAATGTGAATGTTCAGGTTGGATTTGTTTAGGAGTTTTAGATAGTCTTTGCACAGTTTCTATAAATAGTATTATTAATTTCAAAACACAGTTCGTCAATATATCAGTTCCTCTGGAGTTAAAAGTAATGGAAATATAAATTAGGAAGCTGACTCAAATCCAGACAACCAGTGTGGAAACAGAGCACAAGCCTTCTATAGTCCATGGTACAATCCTGTAAAATCCAGAGTTTCTCCTTAGAGATGTTCAGTTCCTTGAACTAAGGCCATACTACATATTTTCATGAACCTCAAGACTCCATTAAAGACATCAAATGCTAAATGAAGTAGCTTGGGCACTACAGGAAGCACCTGGGCAGTAGGTACCCATTTCCAAAACGCCAAGTGACATTTCTGCTAGAAATCTCAGCAAAGCACTCAACTCCTCTAACCACGTGGTATTCCTTAAAACACAGGGTACCTGGAGTTATGGCACTGTGCTTATTCTGTAGATAACTGGAGAAATCATGCCAGGTCTGTTAGGAAAGATTCATTTGTGCCTTTTTTTTTTTTTAATGAGTCAGAGGTGTCAGATATAAGAGGTATATGTTGGGGAGGAGGTGGGGAGGAGAGGAGAGAGGCAAGGCACTGGTTACCACAGCCTAGAAGGAGATGCTCCACAGCTGGGTGAGCACTGGTGAAATCTTACATCTCAGGAGAAACAGCGCAGATTGCAGATTCAGATCAAAGTTTGGGGAGACAAGGAAATTATTTGATTCCACAGTTACAAAGAAGAATGACTAAAACTCTTAAAGTGTTACTCAAATGTATACTTTTCCAGGGTAGTTCCTGTGGAAACAGGCTGCTTCCTCCCATTGGCAAATTAATATTTAACAGTTTCCATTATCAAGAGAATCCACTATTACTATTTTTACCAGAACACTAAATTCATATGAACACATTACCTGTTTCAGTAGCAATAATGTGATACTGATCTTCTGGTTTGCTTGTGTCATAAGGATTTCCTGCTGGGACTGTTGGAATAGTATCTGAAAAGGATATGGGACATTTTAGGAAAATATGGTTGTTATGTTGTTAAATAAATTAGTAGTAATTACATCTTAATTTATATTGGGAAAATGAACATTTTTATTTTATGACTGACTAAACTGTTGGATATATACGTGTAAGCAGGACTTTATTACAAAATTGGGATTACATCTGGAACAAGAATTACTAGCAGTGCTATTCTGAATAGCCATATATTTGTAGCTATTGCTCTCTAAAGGATTCATTTCTCCTATGTTCCAGTTTTAAACTGTGCCTGTTAAACTTAAATAGTTTTGGAGGGATTTGTAAACTATCCTTACAATTCTGTATTTACCATTGCAACTCAGTTTAATGTTTAAAACTTCTTACCGTAATCTGGCTCTGCTCTGTCTCCTAATTCTTTTTCTAAGACATTATCTGTTAAATCAATATTTGAAATCAATTGTTGAAGAATAAAATGTGTGCAATAAAACAGATGTTTTCATTCTTTTGCATGCAGTATCATAGAAATAGATACATTTCCCCCAAACAATAATTGCTTAACTTCAGCATTCCATCTTTTTTACCAAAGACTATTTGCAAACTAGCTTCAAATCACTTCTACTTCATACTTTTTGCTCTTTAGAAAAGGGCTGTAGTTTATTCTAGTTTCAACTCTTGGTGGCCTCTGCTAGATTACTGAATAAACCACTAGACATCTTAATTTCCTTTGCTCAATAAAACTCTTAACATACTCAAAGTTTTATTTGTGCAGACAATCCTAAAACAATATAAAAAACTAAGTGTTCTCGATTAGCACTTAAATCTTATCCACATTTTCAAAATAATGCTTAGAGAATATTGGCTAAGAAGCAAAACAAAGCAGCACAGGTTTGTGAGGTTAGATGCCAGCCTCATGTAGTTTGGGTTTGCAACAGGTAACCCTAAAATCCAAATTCAAATTAGTGGCCTCTAATAAACCTCTTAAGGAACTGAAATCACTAAAAGAGGAACAATAGTTTACTCTTGGAACACACCAGAAACTGGAGAACAAATTCATGACCTTGAGTTGCATTGGAGAGGCTTGTAAAGTTACTTATGGTTATTGTTATAACTAAGAGTTCACAAAGATCACAGAATTAATTACCTCATATAGAGGAGGGGGTGGAATCTGCATGATAGTTTGAACACCATTCCTTTATCATGAGACTTAACTTAATAGTGCTGTAAGCCTGCAGTTCTGAGTGTCTTGATAAATACAAACTGCTGGCAGAAATCAAAGCAGCAATAAAGCCTACTGAAAAAAAAATTTCACCTACTCTGGGTAAAAACATCTGTCCATACATAAAGATACCAAAATACCCCAAAGACCTGAGTTCTGCTCCTAGACAGCAGAACAGCAGTTTTTAATTTCATTGCATAATCAAACATACAGGAGCTGGACAGAAACTAAATATGGTTGCAATTACCAACCTATAATTAAATTTAAGTTTGCTGAACGATCAATATGATCTAAAGCCAGTAAATGCTGTCAAGGAAAGCACTATAAAAAGGGCTTAGAAAAAGAAAGTGACCACCAGAAATGTAGTTGCTGCCTGATCAAGACTGCCTAATGAGCACTGCCCTGAACTTGCTGCTGATACAATTCGACTCAACTTCATCACTGTCACCTACAACCTGTTTTGGCCTGTGACTGGTATCATACATCACATACACAGAGAAGTTGGGGAAAAACAACATACTTGGATAACAAACTGAAATTCAATATGCCTGTGGTACTTGAATACTCCTGCTAAAATGGACGTATTTTGTATTGCAAATAGCTGATGTTGAAGCTTTTACAGTGATTTGAGGGGAAAAAAAGGTCATTTGTAAGATCTCACTTAGTTTGAGATGGAAAATGTAATTCTCTCACAAACATTGCAGTACTTTCTTCAGGCAGTGAAAGAAATGTCATATACCTATTTATATACACTTATGCATCCACTCCTTTCTTCCATGTGACAGAAAAATGCATTTCTGGAGAATAGTCTGGTTTCCTAAAGAGCACAATTCCAACAGCTTGAAAAATAAATAGCTACAATTCAGCATTACTGTATTTAGCTACATAACAATGTCAGTCCTAACAATTATCTACCTACATATTATTTGCCTTATATGCCTCATTATACACTAGTAACCTATTTCTACATGGTAAAAGGAATATAAATGCATTTTCATTGTTATGCAATTTCACTCTTATCACTTTGTTTTCTGCCAATCCAAAATACCTGGCGTTTTTTCCAATGGTGAAAGCAATAGAAAAAACAATTCTTTATCACATCTCAACAAGAATGGTAAGTAGTTCACTATTAGAGAATCATTATTTCACTTCAATTTGGTTTTTCTAAAGATATGAAATATACTTGAAATTGCATCTTTTTTATCAAACCTGAACTTTCTGACATAAAAATGTTATTTTAATGACATAAAACCTCTTTATTGTCCTATTTTAAATAATTGTGTTCAGTTGTAAAAGTGATAAAAATGTATATGTCACATTTCCTTGAAGGGCCTATGATAGATAAAGGTCATCATAAGATAGTGATAACTAATAACTTTAAAAGCAGACACAGATTTTGGGGGTGGGGCTACAATTTGTAGGTATACAGAGCCTTCCAAATATTTAATATTTGCTTGCAATATCAATTGCCATTAATATCCTCATTAAGAGACTAGAGAGAGGGAAAAGCTATCTCCCAAAGTCAGAGGAAGAAAATAGCTTGAATCTCTACAGACAGACAGATCTGTACTAAGAGAGTGATTATGGCTTGATTGTGAGCATCAAGAAAGCAGATAGAAAACTGCAGAACTGTAGGACAAACAGCTGTTAAGAGTAGGATTTCATAGAATCACAGAATGTCTTGGGTTGGAAAGGACCTTAATGATCACCTCATTCCAGGGACACCTCCCACTAAATCAGGTTTCTCAGAGCTCCAGCCAGCCTGTCCTTGAACAATTTCAGGGATGGGGCATCCACAGCTTCTCTGGAAAACCTGTTCCAGAGCCTCACCACCTCCAAAGCAATGAACTTCCCTCTAATATCTAATCTAAACCTACTCTCTTTCAATTTGAGGCCACTCCCCCTTATCCTGTCACTGCAGGCTTTCATAAACTGTCTCTCCATCTTTCCTGTAGGCTCCCTGGAAGGTCACACTTAGGTCACCCCAAACCTTTCTCTTTTCCAAGATGAACAATCCCTCTCATTTGTCCCAATCCTCTCAGCCTTTCCTCATAGCAGAGCTGCTCCATCCCTCTGATCATCTTGGTGGCCTCGTCTGGACTCGCTCCAACAGCTCCATGTCCTTCCTGTGCTGGGACCCCAGAGCTGGAGGCAGCACTGCAGGTGGGGTCTCACCAGAGCAGAGCAGAGGGGCAGAATCCCCTCCCTCCCCTGCTGCCCACACTTCTTTTATTAATTAATTAATGAAATTAATACATAATTTCATATGCATTCTGACTTTCAGCTTAGTTTTTGAGAAACAAACACAGCACAGATTATTTGAAAATATTTGAATGATCCTCCTGCAAACCATGTTTTCATTTACTGTGAGTACCACCAAGAGTAGAAAGTGTTACAGGCTCAAACTTGAAAGTTTATTTTTCACGTCTTTTCTGGTTTTGCATGATGTTCTAGTTTATAGCTGATGTTTCCTCTACTGACATATACAGAACTTATGTCATGTCTGGAAGTACAGCCAAATTGCCTAAAATCTGGCTTTTTCTGTCCCCATCTCAACTAGCATGCATCTGCTTTTCATATCTAAAGTTCACGTGCATGAATTTTTTTCCTACCATTCTAGACTTCATTCTTCAAGCCAAAACTTTTTGAAACAACCATCACAAATAACTAAATATAAAATGGTGGATCTGCAACTACAAGGACAGTGTATTTTTTCCAGTAGGACCAAGATATGTCTTGGTCATTCTTCTTGATAGTGAGCAAGGAAAGTAGAAAGTAGCCACTTAAAACACTTTGTGGAGAATAAAATAACCGGGGAATGAATTAAATCAAAACAAACCTGGGAATGCATGATAGGGGAGATAACCTTGAAAACATTCTTATTAGATACAAGCAGGTTTATTTAAATTTATTAAAAATTTATTTTAATAAATAATTATTATTGACATATTACATCCCTGTTAATGCCAGCTCAGCACACACCAAAGGAACCAGTAGTACAGGCCACAAGACTCTTGCAGCTTCTCTCGCAAAACTGAGGCAATTCTTTTTCTAAGGTAATGCCCCACCTGTGAAATATAACTTAAATTTCACCTACCTGGGGCATATTTGCAGATAAAATTGTGCTTCATGTTGCATCTATCATCATTCCACTGATAAAGGTATGGCCCTCCCAGACCAGGGTTTGCAGTTGGCTGATGATACATCACCACACAGGCTTCACTTCCACAGGAAGGCTCATCTGTATACCAATTTCTAGGGGTACACACAAAGACAAACTTTCAACTTTTGAAGGTAAGGTTCATCAGAATGTTAAAAGAGTTTACATTCATGAAGACACATCAACCCCAGCACTCCCATCCTCAAAGATATGCTGCATTGCCCACAGCTTCTCTGTGAAAATATTCTATGTGTGCTAGAACAACCTCCAAAAGCCATACAAGGACAAACTCATTAGATGGGAGCAAAGAAAATTGTAGGCTGAAGCCACACTATGCCACCCCTTCACAGCTTCAGATTCAAAACCCCAGTTGCCAGCTCCTCTTTATCTGGAGAACTTGAGGGACACTAGAAACTTCAAGGGGCAGCAAGTCTTCAAGCTTCTTTCTAGAATACTTAGCTTGCTGGGCATTTCAATCCTCATTTCTTTCCATGGAACCTTCTCAATAAGCAGTTTTACACACTTACCTGAAGGGTGAAATACTTCCATCAGCCCACTGGTAGAGGTCGGGGCAAACACTTGACGTGGCCAGTCCGTCGCCGCTCCTCCAGAGCCCGATCCAGAAATCACCATCAGAAATCCCGGAGCCTGACTTAGTGAGGTTCTGTAACATGTTTTCTATCAGCTGCTGCTCAGCTTCACTTTCCAAGCTCAGTAAAGCCCCACCATCCATCTCACAAGCTTGGCGGGCCTCCTGAAAGCCCACGCGTCTAGACAAGTCCTGGAAATAGGCTAACTTGTAACATGAACGCTTGAAGGCACCATAGCACACCTTTTGACCTGAAAAAATAAAAACATGAGAGCATTTAGAGTACAGTAATAAACAGCAAAACTGCCAAAAAAAAAAAAATAGCACATGATGCATACGCTGATGGAGGCCAGGAGATTTTTTTTTTCCTTGTCTGAAAGGATTTGTGGGGATACACTGGCACCACTGAAATACTTTGCCCTAATTTAAATTGCAAATACTGTGCAGTTCATGGGAATCTATGGCTTTCTTCCCAAGGCCTGTGAAACTCTCCAACACACTGAAGATTCCCACTAACTTCTAGAAAAACATTCCCTACTCTAATGACTGTACCATCAGGCCCCTCTCTTAAAGCCAGGATCTGTTTGGAGGGTATTTTCTTAACTATTGCATACTGATGGACCAACTCCACTTTTATTTTGCAATCAAAGCTATTTAATTTAAAAAATTCTCCATTTTAGTGGCAAGAAGCATCTAGAAGTTTTTGAATCCTGCTATATAACCCTGAGAGACTGTATTCATCTTGTGATGTGAAGCTACTCTTCACTATAATGTGCCTAAGTACAACATGTAAGGGTGTGTGGAAGGAGAGTATCTGCTTCTTCAGGGTATCTGGTCAATCAATTTTTCAATGCAAAAAGGAATAGTAAAAGGATCACAGTACACAAACACAGACTTGACAGGAAAATGTAATGGAGAAAAAAAACTAAGAAAAAAAACCCCAGCTTGTCAGACACACAAATTTGTGAGCTATCAAGAAACTGCAGGCAAACAGGACCTTACAACAGGGTTAGGGAATGGGGAGGAACAAAGGGGGAACTGACAGGAAAGGGTATTAAAGGGGTCAGTCACATATAAAATAGTGTGTGACTGAACGTGTGCCTTCCCTAGGCATCTATTTCTGCCAGCTGAGGAGGAGGAGGAGGGACTTGACTCTCCGTGTTTACATCGGTGATGCACTTGGGCACTGTTGAAGGCAGCATCTTGCCTGTGTCCACCTGTGTGACAGCCGTGTCCTCCCTACACAGCACTGGAATATCTGCTCAGCTTTCCTACTGGTTGAACCATCCAGGGGAAAAGCTGCAGCCACATCCTCAGAAGCTCAGAGAGAAGCTCTGGGTACCAGGGTGGGCACCAGCAGCCAGGCAGGAGGGGGTCCAGGGACTGGAGGTGCTAGAGGAGGTGGCCACTCTCTAAACATGCCTTACCACACCCAATAGAAACTCCAGATATTAGCAGATCTCAGTGCCATCCAGATCTCACAAAGAAACCCTGCGATGCTTTCAAAAAGCACTAGATCTACTGCATTCACACCACTTTTCCTTTGCCCTTCAGAGTTATGTCTGTGGAAAGAATCAAAAGCCAAGTGAAGAAATAATACTTATTCCTTCCAGTTCTGTGGCTGAGAAAGATACGTGCCTTTTTCCAGAAAAGGAAAAATAATTATCTTCAATGACTCTAGAGTTTATATAACAAGATGAGAAATTAATACACTTCAATATCAGCTGCAATTGAACTCCAGTATGTTCATTTTGTGATAGGAGAAAGTTTCTAAATATAATCATTTTTTAGAAAAAAAAAGTCAATTTTTTCCAGTATAGAAATTCATCAATGAAGAACAAAAGCAGGAGAGGTTATTTAGATAGGTAAAAATTACTGAAGAATACCAAAGCAATAAAACTCACTAGACATTATCTAGATTGCTTAGAAATCAACAAATTTCATAATTTGATTGGATAATTTGCTAAGGATAGTATTTAATTGTACCATGTCAGATTTGCATTAGAAAATTTTGTAGTTAGTCCCATTCTTAATCAAACCATTTGGCTTTACCTTTGAACAGGATTCATCGTGTTTTACCTTGAAAAAAAAAATAAAATTGTAAATTGTCACTGAAAAACAGCAACATCATCCTATAGATTAAGTTGCACTGTAGCTTTTTAAGCCAGTGTTTTTCTAAACACAAAGGAAGTTTTTCTAAACACATAGAAGTAAACAGAAAAGCCTAAGAGCTATAATCAAGTTCATTCTTCTTGCTTTAGTATTGTTTCATTTTTTTTATTTTAATAAGTAGCATAATTCCTGTAACAGATTGCAAACAGCACAAGAGCTGACTGAAGACATCTCTGTATGTTTAGAGTGCAGAATTTCAAGAATTTGCAGAGAATAAGCAGACTGTATCAAAGCTTTACTAATAATGGAACATAAAAAGAGGAATAGCTCTTGACTTTTAGCTAAATCTGAAAATAACTCTTATTTTGGGGGATAATTTTTGTTGTGGAAAACTAAATTATGGGGGCAGTAGGGTTATACTATGCTTAGCTTTCTAGAGTTTCCTCAAATGCTTTCAAAAAAAAAAAAAAAACCACAAAAAAACCTCTGAAAACTTCTCTTGGTGAAACTCTGATAAAGTTCATCTGGGAGAAGGACTGTCAGTAAGATAAGTATCTTTGCAGTCTCATTCTTATTTGGCAGACAGACTTCCGAAAATTCAATTATTCATCAATAGTTAATCTACCAAAATAATATAAGAACAGTTCAATTAAAAGGACAAGTTTGTTACACAGATATCCATGGAAAAATCTAGGCTCCAAGATCAGGGGAGACCACCTATTTGGACTTTGTATGATTTCATCCTGACAACACTGTATGTCCCAGTTCCATTCCTGCCATTTCCCTTTATTCACGCAGATTAAGAGCCTTGCTATCAATCTATGTAGTAAGAGCCACAGTCCTGCCTGGGCAATGGTGCTGAAAAACCAAAGGGTAGACCCTTAGATACAGAGGCAAATAAAATAATGGGCTTCTTTCTAAGACTTCTTTGAATAGAAGAAAAAAATGCCTCCATTATCAAAGTAAAATGATAACTCTAACTGCTCAAACGTGGGAAGTGCATGAATGAAAGCTGGGTGTGAAACCCCAGCTCAGTCCCTTCATCTATAACACTGCAATTCAAATTTCGTTAACATGATCGATTTTCCCCAGGAGTTCTGTCTCACTGACAGGATCAAGTGCGCAACGAACTGATCAACATTTTGACCCTCACCACTGAGTGAGTGACAATGGCTTATTGCCAGAGTACACATATGGATATAACAGCTCAAACATCCAAAGGCTAGCACTGAATCATGTGGGACATGAATAACTTACACAAAAAAGTGACCACACCTTTCCCTCTAGCTCAAGATTTGATTCAAAGCATTAATCCAGGATGTATATGTAAATTTTGGGAGAGTCCTTTGTTCACTGCCTTGTCTTTTTTTTATTTTTCCAGACAATTTTTTGAAATAAGCTCTTCCATGATTCCTGTCATACTGTGCACATACTCATCCTTGACACCGAGTAGTAAGTTATGAGCAAATTCAGCTATCAAAATATTCCAGTCACAGTTTCAGTCATGCAGGAATGTTCAGTCAAAATGATGACCACTGTGGATCTCAGTTCTCATGCTGTGCCTCCCTTTCATGGGAAAATAGTTAGCTTTCCATCTATAATACACACACCCAGTCCCCTGCATGTTACTCAGGTGGTTGAAGTGTCCCCCCTCACTCTCTCTTCTTATGCACAGTCTCTGCTCCTCCGTGGCTCTCCAAAAACTTGATTTAAATGACCTTCCTCGCAGAACAAATCAGTCCTTGCTGGCTACCTGACCAAGCTTCTTCAGAGTATTCATCTCCAGTCAGCTGCTGCACAGAGACTCATACTGTTTAATAGAACCATTCAGGTTGGAAAAGACCTTTAAGATCACTGGGTCATGGAGTCCTGGCAAGTGTTGTGTCTGAGCTGCTATAAGGATACCACTGTTATTGCAGGTGTTTGTGCAGGGTTAAAAAACTCTAAAAATCAAGTCTTACAAAATGAAGGAATTAAACAAGCAAAAATTTGCATCCATTCCAACTCTTAAATTCCCGCTCTTTCATTTGTTGCTTTCTACACCTCTGGCAAAAGAAATAACTTCCCCCTTAAAGGCTGATCATTTCTGCAAGAATATACCTCTTGAAATCAACAGAGAAAACAGCAAGGAACCAAGAAATAATTGGTATTAAGACCTACAGACCCATACAGTATGAATGAAGCATGTGGGGCAGAGTAGAAGCTGTGAATTTCTCTTGTTCTAGTTAATTTAATCCCTGTGTTTAGGCAGTGACCAACTCTGAATCTTCTCTTTCTTCTTTTGAAGAGGACTTTGAACCAGCTCCCCTATGGCAGATAAATGTGTTAATGGAAATCTGCAGTTTTGCCTTAATAGCTGGCAAAGCAGTTGACATTTTAGTGCTCTTCTCGGAACACGCTGAGGTGTCAGGTTTTTAAGCTTCATTTTTTACCACTTTCTCTCTCTACTAATTTCTGAACTACAAAGTAGAAATAATTTACCAGTGAAAAATGACAGAATGGACCACATTGTACAGCAGACAAGATAAGTATGGAAACATTAACTATGTGTTATTTTACCTTACACTAACATCTTTGCAGCAGACAAGACTCCACGGTTAATTTTAAAGCAACATTTTTGCTATTTCAGCTGTAGAAATTCAACTCCAATTTTTCTGTCACAAATGAGTAGAAAATAGATTTGTAAGCTAGACTATTGGAATGAATCACGTTAAGATACTATGTAATATGAATAAATAGAGGCCAGTTAGGCATTTACAATCTTTCCAAAAGATCTGCCCTGTAATACTTGAGGGAATAAAGAAAACATGAAGGAAAACATTGTGCCTCCATATGGTATCCAGAAAGAAAGAAAAGTGTGTTATTGTATTTGATCCTTCCTTCAGTGTGAGACTGAAGGTCTAACTAATTTAATAAGAATAATTTAATAAGACCAAGGAACTCACTCTTTTCCCCTACAAACACACAGGCAAATTAAGGTTTCAACCAACTCTATTTGACTATCTGCAGATATGGAGTGCTTAGAGCCTTCCTCTCATGAAGCATACCCAAAGAGCCTTCCCTCACTAAAGCAGAGCAGTCCAGACCCTGTTCAGAAGCAGGAACAGAAACAAGCAAAACACACACTTGACTTGGTGTC